AGTTGTGATAAATGAGAATGTCTTTTGGAATAATTTGTCTTCAATAATAAAAAAGATTAAGATTAAGTTTCAATAATAATCGTATGAAATTCTAATTAAATTAAAAATTAAATTCTTGTTTCTATTTAAACAGATTAGCTAGCAAATTAGTAAAACTTATTAAAATTCTTTTATTTTTTAATGTTAAATTACTTTCCTTCTTCATTTCATAGCAATAATTTGAAAAAAGAGAGAAAAGAACATTCTTCAAGGCATATATTTACGAGGTAATGTGATTCTATTTAATTCTATTTAACGACATAGATCTTTCATAAACATCCAATTATATTAATTAATATATATTCTGTTATTAGACGATGTCTGTAAATATACACGTGAAATCAGCGCAGCAAAGAAAGAAATCATTTATCGGAACGTATCGGTGCCATAACAGTAGATTTTTTTTCAATATCTCGTTCTAAATCGTAGGGATAGCTGGAACACAATCTGACCTCACATGCGGCAGGATCGCAGCGGCTGAAACGAGTTCCAACGTTCATCGTTTATGACAGCATTAATGCCGTTGATCGTTACTTTAATTACAACTGTTCGGCATTCATTACGCTTGTAGTTCTCCCTGGGAAAGCATTAACACGAGCGGCTACGAGCGTGCATTTTTTTAACACGTTCGAGTTAAAGTAGGGCTCGACTTTCGCTTGGAAGATTAATCGTGAATTAATACGACGACGAAAAAGCGGTACAAAAATTATTTATGACGCTGTCTCGTTCCCGTGCAATTATGTGCAAACGGAATCGCCATTCGCGGGTGTCGTCGTGCATCGTCCCGGCAGCGAAGTCGTAACTCCCGGATATCGCTGAAATAATTACAGGTACTGGGCTTAATAAGTCATCGACAGAAAGTTGCTCAAGATCGGTACTGCCAGATCAATCTAATAAAAGTCTTCGTAAACTTCATTAATGTATGTTTAATGTAATGATCTTGTAGATTTAATCTTGAAATACCAGAGAAATTTTTATGCAACGAGAAATGCGCGGTAGAACATTTTGTAATAAATTTAACTAACAATTTTTCTATTATGTTAATTAATATAAAAATATTAAATCAAAATAAATTTTAAAAATATACAATGATAAATTAATTAAAAATAGTTACAGAGACGTGAAGTATAGAGAAGTGAAGTAAATTATATTTATGAGAACAGAATCTTTGAGTTCCTATTTGAAATTTTAAACTAAACTGTTTTCATATTGCAAGCAATTTTCTACAATTTTATGGTAACACCATTTGATATATCAGATATGGAAATATCAAATGTTATATGAAAATCTTATCTGCTATCGTTTTCATCAGATACTAGTTATGCAATCCTTTAAGAAATGTTACACACAATATACGCAAGCAGAACGAGCTAATTCATGAGAAATGCATAGAACGAAGTACGAATGATCAAACTAACAGATCAATAAAGGTAACAAATGTTTCTAAAGGCTATCTTTCAGCAGGATGTACGTTACGCTTCAGTGAGCCACGCGCTACGCCTTGCAACTCTTCAATAATCCTGAAAGGATTATATTTCAAATTTCTTTTATTTAATCAATATGGTATTCAGTTTCTCGATATTTCTAAGTGATAAAAATAATAAATAATCATAAACGTTTCAATTGCGCTCAATTTATAATAACTTGTACAACTCGCGATTAATTACTCATAAATAATTTTATATAATTCCATGTATATATAAAATTATATATCTAAACAATTTTTTTAAATACAAATTTTTAAGCTTATGCAATGATGTTTCGATTTTGAATTAATTTTATTTTTCTGCGGAAAGATTTTTCTACGGAAGTTAATTAAATTTTAATTTTCTCTCATAGCTCTAATATTCCGTTTGTATTTGAGAGAGATTTTCCTTTCCAAAGCAATTTCTTCCTAGAATACGAAATGGCCAGTAGTTTCGATCTCTCGGGAGTGCTTTTGCTTCCCAATAGCAATCTAGGAAGCTCTTGCTTGATTAAATTTTAGTCGCGCAACTCCCAAAATGTTCCTCATCTTTGCTGACGACGTTACACCGGCCATTGACTCACGAGATTTTATTGCAGCAACAACTCACTCAGACTTTCCGATCTTCCGAGTCGATGAAGTTGTATTCCCGCATGGAACACGAAAAGAGAATAAAATTCGCAAAATCTACTGCTATCCACCGCCGTTGTGCGAATAAAACGCACGTTTTATTGCTCGTTAGCGGAAGAGATTGTTTAATTCTCGTTTTGCCTTTTTTACAGCCCGGAAGATCGGCTCACAGAATCGATTCTCAAAACGAGTATAATTTTATCAGTAATTACAGTCATCAGCCGGTGCAATTTCACTAAACTTCTGGACGCGGAAGACCTCTTTCGCCAATGGTAGTTTTCGGCTCTCATTTTTTCGTCGAACGCGTGGTCTGATTTTACGACTCCTGAACGACCAAGAGTCGCTTCGCGAGCCTCAAAATGAAAGAAAAGCAACGAGCAAACTCGGCTCTTAGGAAGCGCTTTGTGCATTCGAAACAACGTATGCATCTTAAACAACAACGCGAAACAAGGGGGGAAGAAGCTGGCAAGCGGAAAAAGAAACGATTTTGGAGCTATTACGTCATTCTTTTTGAAAGATTGACGTACTCGTCTCGCCGCGTCAAACGGAGCAAAAAGCAGGCTATTCTAGATTAGCATAACAAACGCATACTGGAACAGCACTTCAACAGCACAAAGTGCTCAAACGTCGAATAGCGAGACATAGTCAAAAGCCATGGCCAGACTTGCCACTCAAAGCATAACGCAACCGAATGTTGTAAAAATATTACTTTCTTAAAGGAAGAACATAATTGTCAACTTTCACCCATCGGGCACAAAAGCTGAATAAATCTATACTTAAAATACAAGCATTTATCAATCGATGTCCAATGATTTTTCTATAGACATTTTTTTATAGATTAAAATATTTTAAATATGTTAGCTCAAAATTAAAGACCGCTTCAAATATTTCCTGATTTTAATTTTATACACTTTTTTTCGATACGTTTGAAACATTAAAGTCAAGAATTCATGGAGAGTGATATCACCAGCCACTTTAACAGTGATGATTCTTTAATACTAAATACGTCATTCGCTTGGTAATTAATCAAACCTTCAAGGAAACAAGCTCAATATGAATGGTTGACGACGAAAGGGAAAGACAGCGATACAAAGAGAACACCGGCAGCCCGTTCGCGTTCGACTCGGATTAACTGTGATGCTGATGCACGATGAAGCAGTAAATGATACTTAATGGCAATCGAGATGAGGATCCGCGAAGAAGCTCGCAAAAGCGCGAAGGATAAGCGCGCAATCGACAACGTGTAAATAACGTGGAAACCACATGAGATACCTCTCGCGATACTAGCATAACATAGGCATTACGATTCACAAAAAACACTTAAACATAGATTACAAGAAAGATTTGCGGACTTATTTTTAACTTAAGATTAACGATTATGTGGATATTGTCAAACAGGTGATAACAGATTAAAAATTTGAAAAATTGTTCCGTTATACATATATTAAATATATATTAAAAATTAATGACAAAAGTACTGATTTTTTTTTCTCCGATGTACAGAAATAATTCGAGTATGATTACTATAGTTCACTGTAATGCAACATATAATTTGTTACATACAATTGTTTCTTGAAAACAAAACATACCTACATATGAATCTTTAATCGCCAAAGAATTGCTTTTACAACAAGGAACAACGTTATTCCATTTGGCGAAACACGTGTTTCGCGCCCGGCAGCGATAACGAAAGTGGAACTAAAGCATCTAAAATCGACGATCGGCGAGGCGTGAGATCGAACATCGAGTCCACATGATCCGAGCACGATTAAGAAAGGGGCGAGAACATTTCCTCATCGCGATGACGCGTAAGGGGCATTTTCTCACGATTGTCGATTATTTGCTTGTACATAACCATTTTCTTTTGGAAGAATCAATTTATTTCTCACGAGCGATGTAAGAACGATTCGCTTTAAGGCGGATCTTTTTCTACGATGAATTAATCAACCCAAAAAAAACAAGAAGAAAAGATCCAAAGATTTATGAAGATAAACCTGATTATTTCATCAGATGATAATTTACATACTTACCGTAAAAAAAAAATAAATCACAGATGATATAACGGAACGAACGGAAAAAAAATAAGAATAGCTCTTAGGCAGATTTTAATCGATTAATGGTTTGCGAACGATGAATGAACGTTAAGCATGCCAAAAATATTAGTAATGCGATAATGATAATTCGTGGCCAATGTAATATACAGCATCATTATAAAGAGAAAAAAAATCGCTTATAACATTCGCTACGAAAAGATACAATGATTAGGCGAAGAAGATTAAAAAAAGGTAATTTAAGAATATGAATTACATAAAAATAAAAGAATATTTTCATAATTAGCAAGCTTTTAGATAAAACATTACATAATTTTTCCATAATACAGATTATAACAGATTAAAAATACTTGATATATTGGAAATTTTTATCACTTAATACGGGGCAATGGTTAATTTCGATAACGCACCTGCATCTTATCGACCTATTTTTGAAAGCGATAATTACAAACTGATTTTATCAATTAATTTGTTTCATCTTTATACAATAAGAAAATTGTGTAATTAATTCTATATCACAAAAAATGTGTGCAATATATATTATTTTTAGATAGAAAATATTAAATTATTGAGATATGTGTCTGGATTTCTTTAAAAATTCCATTTATATTTCAGCAATTACATACTTTTTTACACATATCATATAATATAGGTGCGACATTATCATTCATTTATTTTAAAGATACTCTCTTTTATCTAAAAACAAATAATTTTAATCAGATTATTTTACAATAAAATCAAAGAGATAATAAAAATTTTGAACATTGTCTTGTCATTTTTTACATAAAAAATTAAAAGTGTTTTGTCTTTAAATTAAGTACAATCGGAGATAATACATAATCTTATCATCGTAGATTGAACAAATAAGATCTATTTCGTGTATAAAAGACAGCAACAAGAATTGCAAAGCATCAGTTTTTGGGGAATCATAAGTAGAAGTACCACAATTCTTCAAAGGTGAGTGTCAATTATCGTATAAGTTAAGCTATAAATTTTAGTAACAGATTTTCTTATAAAAATAGGAATTAAACAACACCATAAATTATTTATTATAAAACAGAATATTCCTATTTATTTTCAAATTAAATAAAATTATTTTCATAAGAATATAAATAAAAAAAATGTTTAATATTATAATTTTGTAAATATTTCACTATTTTACCATTGATATATTTATTCATTTGGATATCGTATAGATGTCTGATTATTTTCTTAATTTAGTTAATAAAATTAATTATTAAGTTAATTAAATTAACAATGTATGTATATTTTAAATAACATACAAAATATTGTATGTTCTTAATCACGAATTATGCCACGACGTATTTTAAAAATTAACGTTACGTTGGCATAATTCGTGATTAAGAACATACAATAAAAGTTAAATAATATAATTTTATTTCATAGAGAGTTATATAAAATCAAAATAATAAATGTTTAATCAATATATGTCAGTGCACAAATGTCACAAATGTCATATCAAAAATTTGCTTTCATTAAACAATTTTTGAATAAGTTTAATTTATTTAAACATCTAAGTAGAAAATATATTAAATGTAATGTGCGTTCCCAGATGCATCAATATTTCAATCAAAATTCTCATTTTTAATTATTTTTCTTATTTTTGCAGATGAAGTTCGCATTAGTAGTATTGTTAGCCTTTGCGGCTACAGCCTCTGCCAAGATTGAGATCCCCAATATCGGCAGAGGTGAGCTCGGCAAGGAAATCCAAGAGTTCTTGGACCTCATCCCTGTAGAAAAAGTAATCGAAATCACTCTTCAGTACTATGCTCAAGATGCGGACTTCCAGAAAATGATCCAATACTTCCAATCCGAAGGATTCAAACAGCTGGTCAAAGATGTAGAAGCTCTGTCTGAGATTAAAGTTTTGATGGATTACATCCATAATGCCGGCATCGACATTTACAAAATCGTGAATATATTGAACAGTGCTCTTGGACTTCCTGCTCTCACCCCGCCATCCTATTACATCGGCACACAGATCACCGGTGGAATTAAGGGATACGTCCAAGACATCTTGGCCGTTTTGCCTAAGCAGCAGCTTCAGGATTTGTACAAAAAGAAACTGGAGACCTCTAAGGTTTTCGCCGATTTCATCGCACAATTGGAATCCGAGAACTTCCAACAGATCGTCAACAAGGTTTACGCTCATCCTAAATTCCAAGAGCTCTTGACGCACGCCAGAAGTGCCGGCATTGATCTCGAACTCATCAAGAATTTGCTGGAGGTTCTCTGGGGTATCCGAATTCCTACTTACTAATTGCTGGATAAACATCAAGGCTACCGTGAAAAGTGAATTCTTTTTTTTATTACACACGCTAGTAGGATTTTCAAAAAGACATGTCATCTCATAAGTATTATGAACAATCCGGACACATAATCCTGCGTAATCTTTTTGTGTATTTCACTTGTGTAAAATAATAAATAAGAGGCTTGTTATACATATTGTTATATTTCTTTCTTTTAGTGAAGCTACGAGAATTCCCATTTCTGAAAATTTTTCTTGATTTACTGTGTGATCGAATACTACATTAGCATCGTTCAAATAACTCGATCATTCATACTGCGCGACATATTTTTTTCCTTCGGACCATTCTCACCCGATCAGGCCGAACCAAGATAAGTAAGATTATGTTGGCTCAACCAACCGACCTGCCAAACTCGTTTTCGCGTGATCGCGACGGCGTAACGCCGTGAATGGAAGTGAGGTTGGGACGAGTCCTCTTCTGCCCACTTCTTGTGCAATTATATCTATCTCTTATTCTACCTTAATATTAAAAAGAGATTTTTTTCTATTATAAAGACTGCATTTACAAACGATAACTGTAATATTACATTTGTGACGTGAATTGAAATATTCACTAATTTGCATTTGGCTTTGCATTAATTCACATTAATATATTTGAACTACTACCCTTCACAAATAATATTATTAAAGATATACTAATTGATAAATAAAATAAATAAAAAATATACTATTAAACTACGCCATTAATTCGTAATAATATAATCTAATAATTAAAATCATCATTAATAATAAGCTTTTAATATTAATAATCTAAAACTAGATGTGAAATAAAATAAAATTCAAATCCAATACTGATATCTATAAAAATAAATTCGATAAATGTTATAGGATAAAGATAATGAAAAAAACTATTTTATCTAGATTCTCGTTTCTGAAAATATTACATCTGATCTCAAAGAATAGCATTTTGCAATACGCTAATCTGAGTTTTGTCTCACGGAGATATTACGGAACTGAACTGCCGATCCTCGTGGAGGGAATGAGAGGGTGCTAGGCAACGAGCGTGGCTTTTAATTAATGACGCCTGGAAGTATACGTGTCGCGCGGAGCCGATTTACGAGCTGGCGCGCGCTGGCGTGTCGTGTGGCTAGAATTTATAGTAGCGCACCGGTCTTTCCCGCTAATATTTAACCGTGTTGAAAGAGGTTGGCGAGATGCCGCGGGAGGTACATACCCTTCGCGATTCGTGCGTGTATTCGAACTGCAAGAACGACGATTGACTTTCTCGCACGGCCGATCGCAGACGCGCGATGATAACGAATAACGCTCATTGAGGGTGGCTCCAAGGAATTGCGATCGTTTAACAAATTGATCAAAGTGATAAAGATAAAGTAATATATGGAGCTGACATTACAAAATAAAATTCATCACACAAATACACTTCTCGAACGCTTAATAAATTGATAGTGTTAAATTAGCTTGGATTAATAAATTTGGATGCATCAACATAATTTAAACTTTGTTGAATTATATTCTTTTTTTCTATATACGTTACACGTGATATTATAATTTCAAAGAAATGACAAATCGATAAATCAGATTTATTTTATTTAAATGATTAGCAGAAACAAATCCTAAAATTTTTTATAATTTTATGACTATTGTTTAATTTAAATTTGATATAGCTTTTCCTATTCCTTTACAATCAATTCTCGCTGGATGAGAACAGAAGTTGCTTTGTACATGATTTATTTTGCACAATAAATAATTTGATCCTGATATTAAAATACAATATCTTCGCTTTCCAATTTTTTTTTAATATTTTATTAATTATTATTCTAATTACAAAATATGTTGCATGCATATGTGTAAAGCAATAATCGCATCACGCTTTTTGAGCTTATTTTTTGTTAATATCTAATTTCACCAAAATAACAAAAAGGCAACATTTAAGTAAAGTACGCTTATCTATTTAAGATACATTTTGCATTTGTTATATTTGATATTTGTTATATTTTTGCAATTTTGATCTCTTAGATTTACTGTTATCGCATGCCTAATAAACAATCGCATTAATTCTTACCTAGATACGAGAAATGATTTTATAATCCCAGTAATAGCTCCGCGTACTTAACGTGGCACTTATAAGCGGCAAAACTTATAAGCTCCGCATTGCTTGTAGCACTTAGGAATAAACTACAGGCAGGCTGAGAGTCCCATTCACTGCGTACAATTGACACTTGTCACGAGGATGCTACTCACGATGTTCAATCGCGTACAGCGTATATCGTGTACGTAGATTTAATCCAGTCTCACACGCCGAACGATTTATCCGAACGAATCATCGATAAATCCTGGAGATGAATCAAATAATCGCAGGAGGATACCGACGTTTTACGAAACCGATTGGAAAAACTCGGTGAAGACTGAAGAGGCTGATGCACCCGAGTCGAGTCTTCACGATCTTGTTATCGCGTTCCGATTCGAGCCCACTCAATATCCGGCGTGAGATGAGAAACGAGGCATCCCGGTCGATCGAAGACCAAATCGAGCTACGAGGAGGAGTGACAGCGCTCGATTTACGGCGGACTGACCTACGACAAAAGTGTTTTGCCTTCGCTAACACGAAGCCGATTCGCCCTTCATTCACTATCCGTCGTGAATGGAACCACTGTGTCTTCGAAAAATACCGATGCACTACCACGTGCACGTCGTACCCCCGATACGCATATTAAAATCCTCGCGCGATTCACAAGAAACAATTTAAATGCGGAAAAAAAAGAAAGAGTCGTTCAGTTCAACGTCGCTCCTTGCACGCTACATCGACCCCTCACGCACGATCGCGTGTCATCGCGATGTAACCCTTCGAGCTTCCCCTTTCGAGAACCACCCCTGACCCATCAGCGCAAACTCGCGATCGTCGCGAACGGAGAAGAGAAAAGCGTTTCCTCAGATCAGCACACGCGCACACCATCTCTCATGGGTCCCATCATCATCATCGCACTCGTAGCACTGAGGAATCGCGAATTGCGAGAATCGCGAGAACTCGCGGCTGGTACCGGCTATCTCTCGCGCAGGAAAGGGCGGGGAGGTAAAAAAAAAAAGAAGGAAAAAAAGAGATGAAAATCCTTCGGCACGAAGAGCACCGACACGTGCGGCAAGAAGAGCAGCGCGCACTGCGGGACAGCAGCCGGATCGGATCGCACCGCGGCCACGACGGCAATGCCCCCGCGTCGGAGGCTTAAGCGCCGCCGACGCGGTCGGAAACCCTGGCTGCGGCTCCCCACCATGAAGAACCAGCCGGCCGGCCCCCACCGCCGTCTCTTTCGGTGACATACACAACACCGGTTTCCCCCGTGGCCTGGCATCGACGTGCACCCAGCCGACGATGCATCCCGGTACGCGCGGAGCTTTCGCTCCGGATGGATCCAAAATTGCGATGATTTTTTTTCGACTCTCAAATTTTATCGAGAAAGACACCGTAAGTGGATCGTAATTTTTCTCCCCAGAATCCCAACCGAATCGGAAAAAAATCGCGATGCGACACAACTTGTTTATCTCGATTCGAGTTTTATCTGTAATTTTCATTTAAAGTTTCCATCTAAAGTCAATTTAGAATTTTATATATATACAATAGGAATATTTTTAATCGGCAGTCTGCTAATTATAGCTATTAGTTTAGTCTTAAAAATTGTGACTCCATTAAAAATTTCATAACAATTATTAAAAAAATATTTAATTTTAAATATTAAGAAAAAAAATATGAGTTCGTTTAATAGAAGTATGTTTTAATTAGAGTTACTTTTTATTCCTTTTCTGACTGGACAGTTGTAAATGCACTTTTGCTTCAAAATATCGGATGCGAAATGATGGAAAGCACAGTTCTGAATATGGTAACAACACATTAGTTGAAATTGGTTTCGTGATAAGTGCATCAGAAGAATGATTTTGTTTCTGTTCACTGCGCTTATTACCGAAGATACAATCTTGAAATATCGTACGGACAGAATAATCATGAGGTATTCGATATGAGAAAGCCATCATGAAACATAGTTTTTATTACAAATAAATCTGTATGTTAAATTTTTCCTTTCAGTGAGCGCGCGATTATCGAAGCAGATGTCTCTCATGGAAGAAATATCGAAAGCCAGAATCGGAACAAAGACACTCAATATTTTTCGTCTTCTCGAAAGTCATCGAGGAAGAGGGAACGTAAAAGAAATATCGATTGGCTAACTGTCGAAAACTCTTTCAATATGAATCTAATATAATTGTCAGAGTTATATATTACAGACATTATTGCTTTCGTTACAAATGCAATAATACATCGTTTCTGGAATGTTTTTCGTGCAAAAAGAGCGGGATTTGGTATTGATTGAATGCATTATCGAACATTGCCCTTGCCAATGCGAACGAACTGGAGGCCCTCGCGATTTCTGTGGCGGCATACCGGCGAAGACGAAATATCAGAGAGGAAGTAGATAAAAGCGCGACATTTGATACCGGAATAATTATCGGACGACGGCAATATGCCATATTTCTCTCTAGTGTTTGCTGATACCTTCTTCCGTATTGGCCAACAAGGTGTCCGCCGTCCGCGAGGAAACTTGAAACTTTCCGCTTGAATAGAGGCACCGCATTTATATGTTGAGTATTAATCATCGAACAGCAATCAGCAATCGTCAATCGATATTTTAGCCGGTGTCGATTTAAACATAAATTTTTCTATATAATCAATTTTTCCGTACAATTTTTACATAATGCAACTGACAAATTAAATTGATTCTCTCGACTTTAGCACTATTATTTTGACATAAAAAACAAAATGTTCTCATTATATTTTCATGTAAGAGATTTTTGTTTTATATTTTATAAAATTAAACTAAGAACGTCAAATCATGCTTTTAACTAAGAAATAGCAGAAATAATAAGAATATATTATTTATATAGAAATAATTATTTCCTAAATGTGTAAGATTTAAAGCGAAATTTAATTACATCAAAATGTAATTTTCATCAATTTTATAAAGGTGCAAAATAAATGGTGATCGAGTGCTTTTATCAGTCTGCACAATACAATGAGAAAAAAATATCTAAAGCTTATTGTAGAGACCACTTTAGATAAGACGTTGAAAAGCGTAAGACTGTTAACAGCACATCGTCTATCGTCTTTCATCTTTAAGAACGCGTCGCCGG